AGAAATAAATGGCATCCAAATTGGTAATGAAGAAGTTAAACTGTCCCTGTTTGTAGATGATATGATACTATACATAGAAAACCCATAAGACTCCAAGAGAAAACTACTGGAACTATAGAAAGATTCAGCAGAGTAGCAGGATACAAGATTAATTTACAAAAATCAGTTGGATTCCTACACACCAATAAAGAGAACGATGAAAAGGAAATCATGAAAACAATACCATTTATAATAGCCCCTAAAAAGATAAAATACTGAGGAATAAATATAACCAGAGATGTACAAGACCTATACAAAGAAAACTACAAAACACTACCGCAAGAAACCAAAAAAGAGCTACCTAAATGGAAAAACATACTGTGCTCATGGATAGGTAGACTCAACATTGTGAAAATGACAATTCTACCCAAGCAATTTACAAATACAATGCAATCCTGATCCAAATACCAACGACAGTCTTTGAAGAGATGGAAAAACAAATCACTAACTTTATATGGAAAGGCAAGAAGCCCCAGATAAGTAAAGCACTATTGAAGAATAAGAGTAAAGTAGGAGGACTTGCACTATGTGATCTCAGAACCTACTATACAGCTATACTAGTCAAAACAGCCTGGCACTGGTACAACAACAGATACACTGACCAACGGAACAGAATTGAGAACCCAGATGTAAATCCATCCACCTACGGTCACCTAATCTTCAACAAAGGCCCAAAGTTCATCAAAAGGGGAACAGACAGTCTTTTTAACAAATGGTGCTGACAAAACTGGATGTCCAACTGCAAAAAAATGAAACAGGACCCATACCTCACACCATACACAAAGACTAATTAAAAATGGATCAAAGACCTAAATATAAAGCCCAAAACTATAAAGTTCAAAGAAGAAAAAATAGGATCAACTCTACAGGCCCTAATACATGGCATTAACAGGATACAAACCATAACCAACACCACAAACTCCAGAAGATAAGCTAGATAACTGGCATCTTCTAAAAATTAAACACTTATGCTCATCAAAAGACTTCATCAAAAGAGTAAAAAGAGAACCTACAGACTGGGAAAAAACTTCTGGACGTTACAAGTCAGACAAAGGTCTAATCTCTAAAATCTACAAGAAAAATCTAAACCTCTACAACAAAAAGACAAACAATCCAATTAAAAAATCACAAAGGAAATGAACAGACACTTCACCAAAGAAGATATTCAAGCGGCCAACAGACACATGAGGAAATGCTCACGATCACTAGCCATTAGAGAAATGCAAATCAAAACCACAATGAGATACCATCTCGCCCCCCGGCATTACTGGCACGAATCCAAAAAACTGGAAATAACAAATGTTGGAGAGGCTGCGAGGAGATGGAGGAGATTGGAACTCTTATGTACTCCTGGTGGGGATGCATAATGATACAACCATTTTGGAAAACGATATGGCGCTTCCTGAGAAAGCTAGAAATAGAAATACCATGCAATCCAGCCATCCCACTCCTAGGAATATATCCTAGAGAAATAAGAGCCGTCACATGAATAGACACATGCACACCCATGTTCACTACAGCACTGTTCACAATAGCAAAAAGATGGAAACAACCTAGATGCCCATCAACAGATGAATGGATAAACAAACTATGGTACATACACACAATGGAGTATTATGCAGCAATAAAGAACAATGATGAAGCTTCGAAGCATCTCATAACATGGATGAAACTTGACGACATTATGCTGAGTGGAATGAGTCAATCAGAAAAGGACAAATACTGTATGAGACCACCACTGTAAAAACTCATGAAAAGGTTTACACGCAAAACAAAATGATCTTTGATGATTACAAGGGATGGGAGGGGTGGGAGGGGGAAATACTAAAAAGACAATAGATAAGTGGTAACTTTGGTGAAGGGTAAGACAGTACACGATCCTGGGGAAGGCAGCACAACTTGTACAAAGAAAGGTCATGGAAGCTCCATAGACACATCCAAAGTCCCTGAGGGACTGAATTGCTGGGCGGAGGGCTGTGGGGATCATGGTCTCAGGGAACATCTAGCTCAATTGGCATTAACATAGTTTATAGAGACAATGTTCTACCTTCTACCTTGGTGAGTAGCATCTGGGGTCTTAAAAGCCTGTGAGCAGCCATCTAAGATACTTCATTGGTCTCACCACTTAGAGAGCAAGGGAGAATGAAGAAAACAAGAAACAAGGGAAAGATTAGTCACAACTACCACAGCCTCCACTAGACTGAGTCTAGTACAACTAAATGGTGCCCGGCTACCACCGACTGCTCTGACACGGATCACAACAGAGGGTCCCAGACAGAGCTGGAGAAAAATGTAGAACAAAAATCTAACTCAAAAATAAAGACCAGACTTACTGGCCTGACAGAGACTGGAGAAACCCCGACAGTATGGCCCCCCGACACCTTTTAGCTCAGTAATGAAGTCACTCCCGAGGTTTGCCCCTCAGCCAAAGATTAGATAGCTCCATAAAACAAAATGAGACTAATGGGACACAACAGCCCAGGGACAAGGACTGGAAGGCAGGAGGGGACAGGAAAGCTGCTAATAGGGAACCCAAGGTCGAGAATGGAGAGTGTCAACATGTAGTGGGGTTGTTAACCAACGTCATAAAACAATATGTGTACTAACTGTTTAATGAGAAACTATTCTATAAACCTTCCTCTAAAATACAAAAAAAAAAAAAAATTAGGGAAATAAAGTTTTCCTAATAATAAAACTGCTGAAACAAATTTCAGTTCCTGGAAAAGAGGTGATACAAAAAATACACATAAAATTAAAATGCTAAAAATAGGAAGACTATGGTCACTAGATATTAAAATTGTCAATAGTCAGATATTGTCTGTATACAATATATTGTTGATAATTCTGTCTATTCATGATAATGCCACTGTTGATTAATTTATATTCAGATGTAAGAAATGATAATGGAAATTTGTTACAAGGCTATCTACACTAAAGCAAAATTTGATGGAAGTCAGATATTTCTTGCAGATCATGTACGGTGGTTTAGACATTATGAGGTAATTTGACCCAAAAAGAGATCCCAAGATATGGGATTCAAAGTATTATGGTAAGACTCCAATGTATTAGTACAAATATATTTTTTCTCTTTTCCATAATCAGTGGTTTTTCATCTTATCAAATGTGAACAACTTGAATCCCTTCAATCAATATGAAAACTTACGATTAAATTTTATTTCTTTAAATTGATGCCCTTTGTTAAACACATTATAACTTCTTTAAGATGCAATTGGGTGGGGCAGTGTTAATGCTTGTTTTATAGATCAGCCATTTTACATTTTCCATTATGCTTTTATTATATATATTTTTCTATCAAGAAATATGACCTGTAGACTGCAAACTTATGTAACGATGACCTGTGTTATCACACTAATTCATCAGGAATAGGGAATAATGTGATAAGCAAAAGATTTAAAATCAGAGATATCTAATTGAATTCTAACTTTGCAAACACTATAGCTACGCAACCTTTGGTAACTAACATCTCTGAGCTTAGTTTCCTCAATGAAAAATGGGAACAGTAACATCAGAGGGTTGTTGGGGGCACAAAATGAAATGATGTGTGTAAAGTATCTAGAATAATGTCCGCCATATACTAGGGGCTTAGTAAATACTAGTTCTCTTTTCTTTTTCTATAATAAGAAAAGGAAGAACAATTTAAACCTCTAGTTAGACAATCTGAACTAACAGATTGGCCCCAAGAAAGCAAGAGCTATATGGCAGCCTGAGTTTGCTAGGGATCAAAGAGGAAATACTAGAAACCTGACAGTCACTATCAGGCAGAAATGAGATTTAACTACTTCCTGGCACGCCTAATACTGATATCTACACAAAGGAGCCTTGAACACTCTATTCTAGCTGTAATGTCTGGAGTTTATCCTGGGTAGTCGTGGTTTGTTTCTAGTTTTAAAGAAAGAGGCTTAAATATGAAGCCAAGGAGTAAAGGCTCCTAGACCTGGGGCATGTCATCTGCCTAGCATTAAGAGCTGAAAGTCAGTTACAGAAGGAAAGTCATTTCTAACATGATTTATGCCCCATCCTTCAATGTGGCAGGAAGACTGCAAAAGATATTTGGAAGCCAATGCTTCCTCTGAATAAAGTAAGTGAGTATATGCTAAGCCTCTCTCCCTGGACCATGCTGGCCTGCTAGATAAGTTCCCACTGTGGAGTCTGTGAACCCTGGAGCAAACTGGCGATTTGGGATGAAAAAATATCTCAAGGACAATGATCATTGCTACCGTAAATACACAGTTCATAGTATAAACACTGGGGTCAGACAACAGATATTCAGGATATTACTCAAAAACACATCGATCTCAAAGCTGACAAGATAATCTGTTCCTGGGAGCGCAAAGCAGACTGGAATGCTGCAGCTATGACCTATCCAAGGAAAGAAAAAAGAAAGTGAAACTCTCCAAGGGCTCCATCTCTCACTCTTTATGCAGGCAAAACTCCAACAGACTTCAAAGGGAATATTGCCTAAAGAGGAAGTGCTGCACCAAGCCCACCGGGGTATCACTGTATCATTTCCATGATCACGTTGCCATCTACATTTGGTGGACTGGCAAATGCAAATATTTCAGATACAAGTTTAAACAGATGAAAAAAGAAGTGTGAAATAGCTTGGAGATTTGCTTGCAAAAGAAACCTCAGAATTCCAGGAAAAGCATTTATCACGAGCTTCATAAATCATTCTCCAAGACGCCCCCAAGAGAGTAATTGGTTTGTAATCGCATCAAAAATAAAAGTGTTTTTTAAATTGACACATATCACATTATCACAATAGGGTACTTAAAAAATAATTTCCCAAGCAATGTTCAGCTCTCCCGCTTAGTGACTGTAAAAAGGTCGGCAACATTTTCCTAACTGAAATATAGATTGTATTTTGATATGTTAGCAAAGCTTTAACATACGTGATCCTGATTAATGGAGAAGACCCCAAATGCAGCAAATATACTTACAGGAGGACCTATGGTGGGTGGGAGGGTGGAGAGAGAAAAAAGGAGAGAATAATTAGTGAATATGCAACATATTAAGATTAAATCAGCATAATCATCAGCACAATACAAGCAAGTCATTGACATGAAAGTCATTTGAATTAAATGATTCTTAATCTTTTTTTTTTTTAGATTATAGGCTCCTTTGGGACCTCAGAAAAATGCATATTTACACACACGCAAAATTTTACATAGAATTTCCAGGAACTTTCAGATACCATGAGGCTTATGGATTACTTAATGTATGTTAAGTGAAAACCATCTAACTTAGCTACCTAAAAATTTAGATAAAATATTAATTAGGAGAATCTTCGGTCATTGATGATAGACTACTTACAGAGAATTAATATATAACTTCTTGAGATTGTTAAAATAGCCAGATCAGAAATGTACTCATTACTTGTCCTGAGAATGTTACCTATTCAGTCATATTGTCAATATATTAAAGACTTAAGTCCTAAAGTTTATATGGGTTTCTTTAAAACTATATATTCTCATCAAAACACAGATAAAGCCTGAGCGGATTTCAATTTTCCATACATCATATGCCCAACTGTAAACACCAATTCTCAATAGCCACATAGTTGAGCATGGACTTTTATATTTTCTACAAAACTTTGCATACACAAAATATTCTTATCTTTTTTTTCTCAATTCCCTTTATTTCTTTTGGCACAAAGATCAATTCAGTGAGTACCTGACTCTACTAGTGTTTTATCATTTCTTTTTCCTCAAAACAAATTTATCAAGTATTCCTATTTGCTGCATTTTCATGATGTGATATTTATACATGTTTCCAATTACTTAGATTCGACGCGTTTTAAAGATAACTGTTGAGAATACTCTTAAAGGAATGAAGTCGCTACACTGTCCAAATTGAAGAATATTCATAAACCCTTTTCACTTTGACATCTTTTTCAAAAGAAAAGTGGAAAGGGGGCAAAGAATATCAGTCTGCTGTCTGCTATTGGTGATAGGTGAGCGAGTCTACCACTTCAACACTTAGCAAATGATTGTTTTTAATACTGATACTCTTAGAAAACAGAGGAAAAGAATACTTCTCAGCACTCTAGAATCAACCTTTCTTCTTCTCTTAGTTGTTGTTAGATGCCATCAAGTCAATTTCGACTCATAGTGACCCTATGTGACAGAGTAGAACTGTCCCATAGAATTTTCTTGGCTGCAGTCGTTATGGAAGCAGATCACCAGGTCTTTCTCTCATGGAGCCACTGGGTGGGTTCAAACTGCCAACCTTTCAGTTAGTAGCCAAGTACTTAACCATTGTGCCACCAGAGCGCCTCCCTCTCTTAGTTACCTTCCTCTTGTCTTGCAAGGAAAGACAGACGGCCTGATAAAACTTCACGTGGTCATTTGCATTTTTAGAATCTTAGACTTTATAAAATAAAACAATAGGTGAACTCACTTATTTGGATATCTTCGTTCCAAAAAAAACTTTTTTTATTTGACTTTTTGCTTCCCTTTGCAAATAGGGATTTGGCCTGAAAGCAAAACCTCACTGAAATGGGAGTCGGGACAATTGGTTTGGTTTCAAGTTCTGCTAACAAAAAGTTGCATGGCCTTGGCTGAATCACTTGCCTGCTCTGGGCCTCCATTTGACTCCAACTACAAAATGAAAACACTGGATTGATTAGTAAGGCTCCTGTCATCACTGAAGTTCTGTGGCTATACAAGGGGAATAAAAATTCCTCAATTTTGAAAAGAATGAGAGGAAAAGCATGACAAAATTGTGCCAGTTGGATAAAATAATAATACAGCTTTCCAAGACATGTGCCCCAGTGTCCCAAGGCAGATGCTTTTGCAAAGAACCTACAGACATTTACTGATCACCTACAGGGATGGAAGCATGGGTGCTGCTGCCACACTGTGCGCAGCTAAGAAACCCTCCACTGTGCACAAGAAGGACAGACTTGACTTGACACAGTAAATAAACCAAAACTGGGTGACAATGATTATTAAACTGTACCAATATTTTGTAAATTTTCACTTCCTGTAGTTTGCTGGAAATAAGAAGATTTTTTTAAAAAAAATTCTGGGTCTAGCAGAGAAGATTTAAACACACACATATATAAGCATACACACACACACACACACACACACACACGTGCACAAGATGTGCACAATACAGTACAATAATTAATTAGGAGAAACAGATGCGGGAACCTAACTAGAATATGAATGACTTGGAGCAGCTGAAAGAGAGACTTACCAGATTCTCCTCTTCGGCCCCTCTTACCTCGTTTCCCTGGAGGGCCTGAAATAGAAACAATACTTTTTTGAGTGTGGCTTAATTTTTTTTTCTGATTCCAAAATGGCTAGTAAATAATCTGTATATATTTTATTACCGTTTGTAACTACCAACTTCAAGAAATGAACCAAATATTTGACAGGGTCAGCACTGTCTGAGGTATTTCGGCGTAACTCTTAAGCTTTATTTAATTAGAAAAGCTGCTCTGGATGTTCAGTCAGCTAGCGTTGCTGATGAATACTGAATATTCGGAATTTTTGTTCATCCTCCTTGGATATCATCCATAATGAAAAGTTTTGCTAAGCAAGTTGGTGGTGTGGAGATTTCAAGTTTCTTAGGAAAAATTATTTCCTGAAAGTTCTAGCATATTAATAATTAAAAGTACTAAATACAAATAACTATAGGTTCTCTTCAATCAGGATCTTTATGTTCTGAAAGTAATTGGTTAACATGTATATATCAGTCATGGAAGTCAGTCATAAACATTTATATTTTACTAAATGTAAATTTTAATATGTTGGAATTTCTCTAATTAAGAACCACCTGAATTTACATTACAATCCTTTTAACTGGCAAGTGTTTAGATAGTAACCATGGTTCTCATTTTTTTTATAGAGGACATGAGTCGGAATCAACTAGAAGTCAACTAACAACAAAGCTAATTATTGTCATTCAATAAATGTTTTTAGCCTTTATGATGATCTCATTTAAAAAGGGGAGAAAAAAAAAAACAATTTTTTTTTAGTGAGTTGCCTTTAAAGACCATCAAGCCAGTATTTACCAGACTTAGCACAAAACTCTAGACACTCATGGTTTTTAAGTCGTTATTCTCAATTATATAATTTTTGTCCTCATTTCCTTGAGTAGGAATAGCTCCTACTGATTTATGGTTGGGGAAAATAGAAGAGAATAATTAGCCCACAACAGGAATTGAGGTCTTATAATATTTGCTGGGAGAAGAAGGCCAAGGAAAATAGAGAACTGCCTGGTTTTTAAGAATGGGCTGTGAAGTAGGCCTGATGACTTCCAAACTCTAGAAAGTTCAAGACTCAGGCAGCAGAGGCCTTAGCATCCAGCAGACTCTCAATGCAATACTCAGTGTCATGGTTTGAATTATGTCCCCCCAAAAATGTGTGTATCTATTTGGCTAGGCCATGATTCCTGGTACTGTGTGATTTTCCTGTATGCTGTAAACCTGCCTCTATGATGTTAATGAGGGAGGATGGGTGGCAGTTGTGTTAGTAAGGCAGGACTGGATCTACAAGACTGGATTGTGTCCTGAGGCAATCTCTTGAGATATAAAAGACAGAAGTGAGCAATGAGACAGGGGGACCTCATACCATCAAGAAAGCAGTGCCAGGAGCAGAGCGCGCCCTTTGGACCATGGTCCCTGCGCCAAGAAGCTCCTAGTCGGGGGGAACACTGAAGAGAAGAAGTCCGACAGAGAGAAAAAGCCTTCCCCTGGAGCTGATGCCCTGAATTTGGACTTATAGCCTACTTTGACTGTGAGGAAATAAACTTCTCTTCATTAAAACCATCCACTTGTGGTGTTTCTGTTATAGCAGCAGTAGATGATTGAGACACTGAGCTACTGGCTTCCACACAGAAATACTATCATCAGAAACAGAAACATCGGTGGGCCAGTTAGTTTCCCCTCAAACCCTTACACAGAGTAAGTATGGCCATCTATCTTTTTGTAAGAGGTTAAAAAACATGTATGCATCCACCAGACTGAGTCCAGTACAGCTAGGCAGTGCCCGGCTACCACCACTGACTGCTCTGACCAGGATCACAACAGAGGGTTCTGGACAAAGCTGGAGAAGGATGTAGAGCATAATTCTAACTCACAAAAAAAAGACCAGATTTACTGGCCTAAAGGAGACTGGAAAAACCCCGAGAGTATGGCCCCCAGACACCCTTTTAGCTCACTGGTGAAGTTACCTCCAAGGTTCACTGTTCAGCCTGGGAGTGGACAGCCCCATAAAACCAAATGAGACTAACTGGACTAACGAGTCCAGTGACAAGGGCCAGAAGGCAGAAGGGGACAAGGAAGCTGGTGATAGAGAACCCAAGGTTGAGTAAGGATATTGTTGATGTTTTGTGAGATTGCTAACCATTGTCATAGGGCAACATTTGTAGTAACTGTTAAATGAGAAACTATTTTGTTCTGTAAGCCTTCATCTTAAGTGAGAATAACAGCACAGTTGGAAGAGCGTAGTCAATGTCACTGAACTGTGCATGTAGAAATTTTTGAAACGGTGTATCTTTGGCTATGTGTATTTTCACCAAAAAAAAAAAGGGTTGAGAAGTTAGAGGGTTGATATGTTGTGGGGTTGTTAACCAATGTCATAAAACATGTGTACTTCTGTTTCATGAGAAACTATTTGTTCTGTAAGCCTTCACCTGAAGTACAATAAAAAACAAACAAAAAAAAAAAATGCATGCAATAAAATCGATTGAAAATATTTTAGGAAGCAGTTTTGTAGCAGACTCCAAAACTATCATTAGAAATTTCAGATTTCTTTCTGGATTCTGGAATAAAGGGAGATTTTCATCATATGCAAAGCATTCCTGGCCAGATTGGGAGCAAAAGGAGACTCACATAAATAATAATAGGTAGATAAAGCCCCTCAGGATTCAAAATAAACCCAGTGGGACCCTAATACCTATTGCCCTCAAGTCAATTCCGACTCATACTGACCCTGTGGGTCAGAGGAGAACTACTCTATATAGGGTTTCAAAGCTGTAACCTTTACAGAAGCAGATCACCACATCTTTCTCCCATGGAATGGCTTAAGGGTTTGAACTGCCATCCTTTTGGTTAGGAGCTCAGAGCTTAACCATTGTACCACCTGGACTCCTTGGGACCCTAATAGGTATGAAAAATATATACTTATACACATACTCAAATGTGAGCTCATGCACATACACACACATATAGTTATTGACATATTCTGATATATGTGATGTCTTTAAGATTAGGAACCACATTTCTTCTATGACAAAAATCACTTAAACTAAAAAGTATTGAGTAACTACTATTTCCTGATCATGCCTGTGGTCCTCAAATTAGGGGCTGTAGAACGTGTATAAGATGTATACCTATCCTCAAGAGACAAAGAAATTGGAAAAGTTAAAATAACACACATAAAAAAGAAAAAACAAAACACATATTAGCATGTTATCAAGATGGCACAATGAGTTTATGCTCTGGTGTGTTCTTTTTGCTCCAAAAACATGGTTAACTATAAAAAGAGAAAAACTTTTTAGAAGTATTTGGATTCAAAAAAAGAGATGAACATCTCCATAGACCAGAAATGCAAAGTGGAGAACAGGGATAAAACCATGACCTGCTGGCATCCAGTTCTAGAAGTAGACATGGTGGCCAGGAGTTCCATTCCTGAGTGACAAAGACTCGAATTTCTCTAACCAGAGTCAGACTCACTTCTTAAAGCCTGGGGCTGGAAAGTGCTAAAGAGAAGCTGGGGAAAAAAAAACCTGTTGCTGACCATTACCTAGGTCTGTGGCTTAAAGACTGAAGCAAATAGATATAACCTCTGAATCAGAAAATGAAACAAGCTTCTGCGGGCTTGTTCCCTGACTCCATGATACCCCCAACAAAAATCTGGGACAGGAGTCCTGAAATGTCATTTTAAGACCAATCTTGTTTAGGAGGCTAGGAGGTCAGATAAACACAAATATAAAATGGCTTGATAAAAAAGGATGAGCACAGAGAAAAGAAAGACACAGAGAGACAGAGAGGCACCCAAAACATCCCTCCTATCATAATGTGTATGCAAACCAAAATTCCAAAACATATGAAGAAATCTAATGCTAAGAACGGCAGCAAATAACATCAACAATACAATCAGGAATTCTTTCCAGTTAATCATTTTAAGAAACCATCTGACAATGAGCAATATGTTAATTATGCTCTAAGAGATAAATGAAGAAGTAACTTCTATTAAAGAGCAACGGATTTAAAAAAAGGAAGAAAAAAGAACCAGTGTATTTAAAAGAAAAATTCTTTAGAAATCCTGAAAATGAAAAATATACCCATTGAAATTTAAAAAAATAAATAAACCGATTAAATGCTAGCCTGGATATTGTTGAAGAGAGAATTAATGAACTGGAAGATGCAGAATGCAACTCAGAAAGACAGATTTAAAATATATATATACATATATATACACAGATACACACATATATTTAGGGACAGACAGAGTTGTTACTTGATTTACTAGCTAGAGAATCCAAAATAAGAGAATGGAGGAATGTAGAGAAGCTATTATTGAAGAGACATAGATGAAACTTTTCCAGAATTGAACACAGGAGTCCTTAGATTGAACTTAGTACTTAAATTGAAATTGAATTCCAAGTGGCAAGTAAAAATAATTCACATTTAAACCCATGGAAGAAGAAAACTTATGAATATTGAAAGAAAAAGAAAATGTTAAAACTACCAGAGGGAAAATTATAACAGAAGGTACTTAGACGGACTGCTATCTTACCTGCAACAGAGATGCCAGAAAGACCCAGTCCTTATTTTTAGAACATGTCATATTGTTGTTGTTAGGTGCAGTTGAGTCGATTCCAACTCATAACAACTCCATGTGACAGAGTAGAACTGCCCCATAGGGTTTTCTTGGTTGTAATCTTTATAGAAGCAGATCACCAGGTCTTTTACCCACGGAGCCACTAGGTGGGTTTGAACTGCCAACCTTTCACTTAGCAGTCAAGCACTTAACAGTTATGCCACTAGGGTTCTTTACGACATGTCACAGAAGCCTATTATCATTGTTTATTGGAAATTAGTCGATCTGTCATTTTTTTTCCTGAAAAATGTTTCTTTTAAATTGTAGAATTTATCGAGTAAAAACAATTTGCACAGAAGTTTTAAAATGATTAGAAATAAACTTTTAAAAAATATTTAAAGATGTCAGATTATGAAGAACTGAACAAAGAAGCAACAATATCTTTTGAAGAAATCAAGAAACAAGAATGTT